GAGCCACTACTAAATACACAATACTCATGCCTGGACAACAAAATATTCAAATAATATTGTATGCATAGCCATTACATATACAGGAACACTCACAAAAGCAATCCCTGAAACAAATTTAGTCAAAACACACAAATGCATCTCTTGGTCTTCCTCGTCGCCCAGTCATCCGTGTCAATCTTTCTGTGTTGAATTATTGCCCACCACAAATTTCCAAGCCAAAGACAGCCATATTGTTGTGCAGGTAGCCATGCTACTTATTTATGCTGTCTAACACAACCTGATCTAGGTAATTCATTAAGCTCAGTTAGAGAGATAATACTGTCTTTGTGACACTGGCTCCACTTGTGCAGCATGTGTGGCTTTTCTGCAAACATTACTTGGACAACAGCATATCGCAAAGATAAGCCAGGAGAACAATAACCGGGCAAATATTAGTTTTGAGCTATTAAGCTAGGTCTGGGACTGCTGGTGTATACCTGGCAATGTTTATTATAGTGGATAATGATTTTGTACTTTGTTATTTGGCCACAAATAGACCTTTACTAAAATAAGAATATTGTTTCCTTGTTTGCAGGTTGATTGATTCATTAATTATAATTCAGCTGCTATAAATCCAATGTCAGTACTTGCCATTCAGTTTTATTGTTTAAAGTCAGGTATGTTGTCAGCACAATATGCACAGTTTCAAAGATACATCGGACACATTCCAAACTACTATTACTACTACTAAATGGAATCAAACTACAACAAGACTAAGTGTCTACAGCCATGCTAGCAGCTCTGTGAGGCTGTACCTTGGCACTACGGTGCTATGAGCTTAATGATAACATCAGCATGCTAACATGCTCAGAATGACAATGCTAAAATGCTAATGTCGAGGAGGTACAATATTGCCATGTTCACCATCTTAGTTTGTCAGGATGCTATTTTGCCAATTTGCATTTAAGACAAAAGTACAGCAGAGGCTGATAGCAACGTTAATTTAGGGAATTCAGCAAAGTGGTTGTAATTCATCCTGAGGGAGAAAAAATAAAAATCTATTTCTTAACAATCCATCATATTTGTTGAGACATTTTACTAAAATCTTAAAATGTCAGTGGTGGTTTCAGAGGAAAAGACAGGGAATCACCAAAGTCATTCAGATTTAAACCCTGGGCACCATGAATCTGTTCAAATTCTCATTGCAGTCCATTGTATTATCCATTGTCTGTTGCTTTAGCTACTATTGTGAGCAATTTAAAAAAAAGAAATCCAATAAACTTTTCTACTGTTGCTGTCAGACTGAGGGGCTCATCTAATAAAGTAAAGTAATAAAGTAAAGCAATGAAATATATCTTCTTCCTCAGGTAGTAATACAGACAAGTATTCTTGCATTGTTTAAAATTCATTACTACTAGTGTGGTGGCTAGAATATACTTTTAGTGTAGTCAAAGTCTGATACTTATTCCCTTGATGATAATGCTGGTAGAAATACTAGTATAATCCTTAGTTAATGATATACCTTATCTGATAATCCTGCCTGATAAAGATTCCCTGAGGAATATTCCCATAATCCCCGCCATCAACAAGGAGGTCTTAGAGGCCATCTTTATTCTGTCTTGTCAAGAGTCACTTGCTTTAAGAGAAAAAGCAGCAGATCAGGCCTTGTGTCTACAGTGTAACAATTTGATAAATGGTATGTTGTGTGTGGCTGGGTGGTCAAGTTTGTACTTTGGTTTGTTGAAAATGTCAGCGAGCCTTCAAATACTACACAATAATAAGGTCAGCCCAGCTAACTTGAAATGATGGCGAGGACTGTTTTGGACATGAATGCGTGCTCTGGTTCCTCTAGTGGAAAGAACATGAGAAGTTTGTAAATGAAAAACACTTTTTAATAATTTCATTATTGTGTAAAAGATTAAATAAATTGGGTTTTTCAGTAAAACGTATTGTGAGTGAGACAGCGGTATCATGTTTGATGCTTAATGTGTTGCTGCCAGCTAAATTTTCTATCACATTACAAAATGGGTTTGCCTTTTCTGTCTCTGTCTTCTTTGTGGAAACATCATGAGTGTCATTTGATCACAAGGGGCAGAGTCTTGTGTGCATTAGGAGACAGACTGGGTAACAGCTCTTCTCAGCACACTATTTAAAAGCCCTTTTGCAGCGGTGAAGAGAACATCCTGATTGCTCAGCTCAACACCAGCATCACAGTAAGTAACATTGTCTTTCATGGTGAATAAACTTTACTGATTATTTATCATAGGATAAAGGATAAAGGATAAAGGATAAAAAAAAGGATAAAAGATAAATATTATACCTTTTATTCGTAGTAGTTTTAACTGGTGTTTCACTTAAAATGATAGCTTTACTAAATATATCTGATACAGCTGGATTATTGTGCAGAGTGTAAGTGACATCCAACAAGTGTCCATGTCGAGTGCAGCAGCAAACTCCCTTAGTAAATATTTCTTTACATTGGTGAAAAACATATTCAAATCCTTTACTTCAGCAAAATACAAAAATGTAGAAATTCATTTAAGTTTCTTTTTTCAGAATGTTTTTTCAAATGTTTTTCAAAATTAAATCTAACTACTTCCATGTGAGAAATTCTATTTAAGTAAAAGTACGGAAGTATTAGCAGCAAAATGGAGTTAAAGTATTAAAGTAAAATGACTTGTTTTGTCCCTGATGTATCAGTGTTCACTGTGGCATAGTTACTGTTCCAGCTGCCCGAGTTGGAGCTATTTTAATTTCTTTATATTCAATTCAATTCAATT